GGAATCGGATTAGGAGCCGCACTCTGAGGGAAAGGTTTTTGAACGAACTTCTTGGAATCCAGGCCTATTAATATCGCGGTGCTCCTGGGATTTGGTCTACCCTGGAGTTGTAGGTTTTCACTTTTTTGTCATTAGATGCGATTTTCTTCTCCCCTGATTCTACCCGTTTTGTTAGTTCCTCGAGCATCTTTATGATCTCAGGGTTGGTCCCCAATTCATTTTCATTCGGCCTCTCTGCGACCAGTTCATTTCTGCGGGTGACTTCCTGGGATGTATCGGGTTCAATTCTGCTTAGTGCGCGGCTCTGGTTCTGTAACTGGGCTATCGCCGCCTGTTAAGCCTACAACATTTCCAAGATCACCCGTAGATTGATCCCGTCCCCTCCAATGTCTTGTGTATTTTGGGCTGCTGATTGGGCTTCACCGCAGACGCTATTCTCGGGGTCGGTACGTAGATTTGCGTTGATGGCCATGTGTGAGTTGGCATCAATCGGGTCAGTGATCGGAATTCCAATGGGATCAACAGGTGGTGCCCCGCCACAGGCCACTATGTTATTTTTGCCATGAAGACCGGACTCATCATCAACATGTAGAGGTGCTGACTGGGAGTTTGACATTTTGAGCTTTAATATGAAATTAGAGACACTCAAAAGAACAAGTGTAAAGCAGTGTATGTTATATAAATTTGTATCAAACAACCACTATTATCCTCAGCTCTATGGTGGGCGCCAAACCTTTTACCCTCAAAATCGGATAATAATTAAATTTATAAGTGGTTTTGAGGATACGCGGATTTATTTGACATAAAGCAGCAAATAAAGAAAAATTAAATAAATAATGATAAAGAAAGCTCAAACCACACGAGGAAGACGATTTAAGCCTTAGTGAAAAATTTTCCCTCGATTTGGGCTCGTAACAACAATCACTGATGAACGAAAGCAGAAGAACTAATAACAGAAAAAATAATGATATATTGCTTTGGAATGCATGTTACAATGTACTTTATGAATTATAAGACCCTCTTTATATAGTATATGAGTCCTACTTTAGGTACAATTCTATAAAAGGTAAACAATCTTTTGATATACTGATTGCCGGTTCTTTTATCGGTACGTGCCGAGATTCCTGCTGTAATACCTGGCCGGTCACAGATATTTCAGTCTTCTGTTGGCTAAGGTGACAATGTTTCTTCAAAGTAATTTGAGGCTAGGACCGGTTTCGGTATCATGGCCTCGATATTCTCGAAGGCAGGCGTCCTATCTCTGGGTTCTAATCCGGTGGGACTTGGGGTCGATCTTCAGCCCTTTATTATCATGGCTCGAGCCTGGCTTACCATGTCGGAGGCTAGGATGTACCACGAGCTCGATTTTGACCGTATACAAATAGTCCCCTCATTTTTCGGAGAGTAGACGACAAGAAATGACTTGAGCTTCCGATTCTCACTTTGATACACCGTGACATAAATGACAAAATAACTGAAACGTCTTGTCAGTCAAGTCCTGATGGCATTAAATGCATGTCAGCCGCCGGTCTGCCATTCCTAGATATGAACCGTCACTAAAATACTATAAATACCTCTTCCTTTACTCTTTTTAACTTTACATCCAAACCTTCTAACCTCACACTCTTAAAATTTCAATACTTTCTAGCACTTTTACTCCAGTTATCTGAGATCCTTTGCAAGAATGCTTGTTTATCTTCATCTTAAGCCAATAAGTACGATCCTTCAACTTCCTTTCTTTCTTTCGGGATCATGGCCTCATTATTCTCAAAGGCAGGCGTCCTATCTCCGGGTTCTAGCCCGGTGGGACTTGTGGTTGATCTTCAGTCCTTTATTGTCATGTCTCAAGCCTGGCTTACCATGTCGGAGGCTAGGATGTACCACGAGCTTGATTTCATCTATAAACACTCCTACTATAGACAGTCCCCAGAACCGGACCTACGCTTTGCTTGGTCGTCAGGACCGGGAGGCTTCACTAGACGTGGTTACAGGTACTTTATCAGTGGATTCTTATAATGTGTATGTGTTGATAGATCCTTCTTCTACACTATCAAATGTTACTCCCTTTGTTGCTACTAAGTTTGGGATAGAACCAGAAGCAATTAAACCTTTTGAGGTAGCCACCTAATTGGTGATGTAGTAGTAGCTAGGCATATTTTTAGAGGTTGCACTATTTTGGTTGGCGACCATAGTACTAGAGCTGACTTGATTGAGTTAGAAATGGTTGGCTTATATGTTATACTTGGTATGGATTGGTTTTCTTCTTGCTATGCTAATATTGACTATAGAGCGAGGATGGTCAAATTTAATTTCCTAGAAGGGTCAGCTATAAAATGGAAAGGTGTTTCTACATCACCAAAAGGTAGATTTATTTCGTACCTTAAGGAGATGAAGATGATCGCCAAGGGATGCTAATATCATATATTTTATGTTTGAGACATAGAGAAGGAAATGCCGACTCTTTCATCAGTTCCAGTAGTGAATGAGTTCCATGATGTATTTCCAGATGTGCTTCCAGGTCTTTCTCAAGAGCGGGAAATTGACTTTCCCATCAATAAAGTGCCGGGGTATGCAACCAATATATATTCCTCGTTATAAGATGGCACCAGCAGAATTAAAGGAACTTAAGGAGCAGTTGAAAGATCTGTTATATAATGGTTTCATTAGACCCATCACTTCTCCTTGGGGAGCACCAGTCTTATTTGTGAAAAAGAAATATGGCTCCCTACGTATGTGCTTAGATTACAGACAGCTGAACAAGGTCATGATCAAGAGCAAATATCCCCTTCCCAGAATTGATGACTTGTTCGACCAGCTTTAGGGTGCCAAGTGCTTCTCGAAGATAGACATGAGATCATGCTACCATCATGTTAGATTCAGAGAGTGTGACATACTTAAGACAGCATTCAGAACCAAAGATGGCCATTACTAGTTTCTTGTTATGTCATTCGGGTTGACTAATGCCCCAGTGGCATTTATGGATCTTATGAACAGTGTGTTTAGGCCTTATCTAGACCTATTTGTGATATTGTTTATTGATGGTATTATGATATATTCCATGTCTGAATCAGAACATGCAGAGCATCTACACACAGTGTTGGGTATCCTTCAGGACCAGAAGTTGTATTGCCAAATTCTTGAACTGTGAATTGTGGTTGAGTTCAATAGCATTTCTTGGACAAATAGTATCATTAGAGGGAATCAAAGTAGATGGTCAGAAGATAAAGGTAGTGAAGAATTGGCCTAGACCTACGACGCCAACTGAGGTACATAGTTTTTTGGGTTTGACAGGGTATCATAGGAGGTTCGTAGAAGGGTTTTCTTCCCTTGCAGGGCTACTGAATAGATTAACACAAAAAGCAACCAAATTTCAGTAGTCAAATGAATGTGAGAGGAGTTTCAAAAAGTAGAAGAATAGGTTGATTACAACTCCGGTTCTTACACTTCCAGAGGGATTCGAGGGTTATGTTATTTACTGTGACGCTTCTCAGATTTTCCTAGGTTATGTGTTGATGCAGCACAGAAAGGTAATTGCTTATGCTTCCGAACAATTGAAGAAGCACGAGCAGAATTATCCCACACATGACTTGGAGCTAGCAGCGGTTATTCATGAACTGAAGATTTGAAGGCACTATATCTATGTCGTTCATGTTGATATCTATACAGATCATAAGCACCTCAAGTACATATTTAAGGAGAATGAGTTGAACTTGCGGCAGAGACTATGGTTAGACATTCTAAAGGACTACGATGTTGACATTCTTTATCATCCAAGTGAAGCTAATGTTGTAGCTGATGCTCTCAGTCGTAAGTGCTTGGGGAGTTTAGCTTACTTGTAGCCTCATAAAAGGTAAATAGCTCATGAACTCCATCAGTTAGCCAGTTTAGGAGTTGGATTGAGAGATTCAGACGATGCAAAAGTTGTAGTTCATAATACAGCTACCACTTGTTTATGGACTGAAGTGAAATAGAGGCAATATGAAGATCCAGTTCTAATTGAATACATTCATGTAGCTAGGGAAAAGAAAAAGTCACCTTATAGAGTTACTTGTGATGGAGTCCTCAGATATAAAGATAGGCTTTGTGTTCCAGACATTGTAGGGTTACGTAGGCAAATTATGGTAGAGGCACATCATTCCATGTAAACCATTCATCCAGGCTCTACTAAGATGTACCACGATCTTAAGTGAAATTACTGATGGGATGAAATGAAATGTGACATAGGAGAGTTTGTGGCCTAGTGTCCTAACTTCTAGTAGGTAATGTTTGAGCACCAGGAGACTAGTGGGGTGTTATAGGAGATAGAGATCCCAACATGGAAGTGGGAAGCAGTGAATATGGAATTTATAACAGGCCTGCCTCGTACACGGAGCATGTATGATTCTCTTTGGGTTATAGCTGATAGACATACCAAATCAGCTCATTCTTGCCTGTTAGAATTACTTATACAGTACAAGATTATGCCAGATTGTATATTAGGAAGATTGTTTGCCTCCATGGTGTTCCAGTATCTATCATTTTAGATAGAGGCATGCAGTTTATAGCTAAATATTGGTGATAGTTCCACAAAGGTTTGCGGACACAGGTGAATTTGAGTACAATTTTTCATCCCCAGATAGATGGACAGGCCGAGTTAACTATACAGACGCTCGAGGATATGTTAAGGGCGTGTGTGTTAGATTTCAAAGGCATATGGGATGAACACTTATCGTTGATAGAGTTTGAATACAATAATAGTTATCATTCTAGCATACAGATGGTGCCTTATGAAGCTTTGTATGGGCGCAAGTGCAGATCACCCATAGGATGGTTCGAAGTTGGTAAGTCTCAGTTGATAGGGCCAGATTTGATCCAACATACAGTATAAGGTTAAGCTAATCAAGGAGAGATTGCTTGTAGCCCAGAGTCGACAGACGTCATATGCGAACAACTGATGCTGAGAACTAGAGTTCTGGGTTGGTGATGGGGTGTTCCTGAAGTTGTCGCCTATGTAAGGCACCATGAGGTTTGGAAAAAAGGGCAAGCTTAGCCCTAGGTATATAGGTCCATACCAGATCATCAGACGAGTTGGTCATGTAGTATACGAGTTGGACCTTCCAGCAAACCTTCCGGAGGTACATCTAGTATTTCATGTCTCCTTGCTTCAGAAGCGTGTTAGAGATCCTTCCAGATTTGTACTAATTGATGATGTACAGATCACTGAGTTGTTGACTTATGAGGACGTACCTGTTGCCATTTTAGATCGGCAAGTTTGTCGGTTGAGGACGAAATATATTCCTTTAGTGAAATTGTTATGGCAGACCAATAATGTGGAAGAGATGATTTGGAAAGTTGAGAAGGATATGAGAGCTAGATATTCACATCTCTACACTACTCCAGGTATGTAACGGATCTTTGCTTAATGCTTCTGTATACCTCAGTCAACATTCGAGGACGAATATTCTTAAGAGGGGAGATTGTTATACCTCGTACTTTTGTGATGTCGTATATTGTGTAAATGAATTTCTATGAATGATATAAATAAGTTTAAAGTCATAATATGACTATATATGATTTTTGGATATAGAATATAAAGTTTGGGAAAATCGGATTTAAGTTGCGGAAAAAAATGACTAAGGATTTGCCTTGTAACGAAACCTTTTGAGAAATTAATTTTGTATATTATATGAGGTCTTTTGGGAACATATTATATACCAAATTTAATTTCTTGGAATGTAGCTTCCAACTCTCTTGGCCGTTCATTTATACGACGTCCGGATAAAGAGATATGAACGTCGGAAGAAGAGCCGGTAAAGCACACATGTGGTTGACATTTCAACCTTACTATAAATAGAAGACTTAATCTTCTTTTTCCTCATTTTCCAGAAAATTCACGCACAAGCAGATATTCTATAGCTCTCCAAGAATTTCCTTAGGGTTTTGAAGCAAGTCCAATATCCACAACTCAAAATCAAGGAGCGAAAGCATCAACGCGATCCGTGCGACATAGGTAAGACTTTTCCGTCTTCCTTTCTCCTTATAACTCGAGTTTTGGAAAGAGATTTGTGGCTAAGAATGATTGTCACCTCTGTATTTTAGTTATACAAGCATAAGAAAGGGTGTGGATCAAAGGGAACAAGGTTTGGAAGTAAGAACACAAGAGGTATATAGGGTTTTCGTTTCTTTTTCGGCATGATTTGGTTTAGCTATGTTCTAGCCTTTCTTCTTGATATTTTAAGAGTTGTTCAAGAGAAATTTCAGCATGAATTTTATCCTTGTATATTATTCAATTCCATATGTTATGTATGGAATAAACTAGTTTAGGTTGGAACTACAAAACACAACAAAAACAAAAAGGGCGAATCACCCATTTGGCCTATGCCATCCGGACTTCTGTTCTTTCCGTTCCTTTGATATTTTTATGTATTCCTAACCCCGTATGATCCTAATAGCTTCATTTAAGATTAGATAAGCTTAATTATAATGTGTTTATGCTTAGATTATTCCTAAATTATATTTATACTTTCATGTCCACAAGTTAGCCATTATGAGCCGATATTACGTTCATAATTCTATGTTGTCGATCCTTTGACACTCTTGTGAATAACTGGATCTCCTTTAGTTTGTTGTTATCATCTTGGCTGGGTATCCATTCCCGTGTATATTGTGGTTCTTGATTTTGTTTTTTTTGGGGATCATCCAGGTTTAGGGGAAACTCTGCCAAAATATTTGGAAATTCGAAGAGTTGAACAAATTTTGCGTTCCTTGGTTCTAAATTGATTCTGGAGGGATCCTAATGAGTTAATTAACCTTAGTATCTCATGTACATACTCAGTTTCTTCCTAAAAAGGGGATAGGCTCTTCCGTCCAACTTATGGACGACAAGCGTTTACATTTCAGATTCCGTTTATGGTTTTCTTCATGATCTCTTGAGTCCACCTCATACATGCTTACATTAATTATGCTAGGGGGATATAGCCCATAACGCTAGTGAGGCCTGTTGATTATATGTTAGGGGGAGATAGCCAATAACACCAGCCAAGCCTATTGATTATATATTTACCTGTTGGGGGGGGGGGATATAGCCCATAATGCCAGTCAGCGATGTTATATACACGTATATAGATACAGTTTGCATTGCATGACTATACACGAGGCTAGTTCAGATGCACAGTTACTTGATTAGGAGGGGATATAGCCCATAACGCCATACTGGTACCAGTTCAGATAGTAGTACCACAACTCCAAATAATGAGAAATAACCAAAACCCTTCAAAATATAAACATGCCCAGCATTTCCACATTTGCAGATAACTGACCGCATCTGCGGACACAAGCTCGCATCTTCGGTCTCCACTTAAACCCTCGACCTCCCACTTCTGCAACCCCTCAGACGCATTTGTGGTCACGCTTCTGCTCATCCAACGTCCGCATATGCAGTCCCCTGCTCTTCCAGCCCAATCCTTACATATGCGCCTCTAAGGCCGCACTTGCGGCTCCGCATCTACGACAATACTTCCGCAAATGTGAAAACACCACACTCAACAGTCTTCAGCAACACCAACACAACCCAAAGTGATCCGAAATCAATCTGAAACACACCCGTGGCCCCCAGGACCGGGTCCAAACATACCAACCAATCTCAACACATAACGCAAATCTACTCAATGCCTTTTATAGCACCAAAAAATATTAAAACCATATATCTCACCTTAATTCAAGCGTATGGAACTAATCCAAATTTTCGAATTCAAAACTTACGCCGAAAAAGCCTAACCAACTCAGAATGACCTCAAATTTTGCATGCAAGTCAAAAATGACACAAAAGACCTAATCCAACTTTATGAACAACCATCCAAATCCGATATAAACAATGTCAACTCCAGGTCAAGCATATGAACCTTTCAAACCTTCAACCTTCCAACTTTCGCCAATTCAAGCCAAAATGACCTAGAAACCTCCAAATCCAAATACGAACACACACCTAATCCCAAAATCACCATACGAAGCTAATGAAACCATCAAAAGACCATTCTAGAGTCATCTATACAAACGTCAAACTTTGGTCAACTTTTGCAACTTAAGTCTTTAACATAAAATTTGCCCTAAACCAAACTAACCTGCCCTGCAAGTGAGATAACCATAAAATTACATATGTAAAGTATAACATAGGGTAAATGCTGCTAAAATACTCAAAACGACCGGCCGGGTAGTTATATTCTCGCATTCTTAAGCAAACGTTCGTTCTCGAACGAGTCCAGAATTATACCCGAAGTCTTAAAAGGTGAGGATATCTGATCCACCTTCTTGATCTCCCAAGTAACCTCCTCGACCAGCTAACCTCTCCAATGAACCTTCACCGATGCTATATTCTTTAACCTCGACTTCCGAACATGTTGGTCCAAAATGGCCACCGGCTCCATATCATAAGTCATTTCCTCATCCAAGTGCACCGTGCTGAATTCCAATACATATGATATATCCCCATAATATTTTCAAAGCATAGACACATGAAACACTTGGTAAAATACCGATAAACAAGGTGGAAAGGAAAGTCTGTAGGCCACCTTTCCAACTCTCCCAAGCACCTCAAAAGGACAAATATATCTAGGGATCAACTTTCCCTTCCTCCCGAACCTCATCACACCCTTCATGGATGAAACTCTGAGTAGAACCTTCTCACCCACCATATATGCCACATCACAAGCCTGCATATCAGAATAACTCTTTTGCCTGGACTGTGTTGTACGAAGTCGCTCCTGAATAAACTTTACCTTCTCCAAAGCATCACGGACCAAATTAGTGCCCAACAATCTATCCTACCCATGGTCAAACTAGCCATTTAGAGAATGGCATTGCCTCCCATATAAGGCCTCATACGGAGCCAAATGAATACTTGATGAACAGTTGTTGTTTTAGGCAAACTCTGTTAAAGGTAGAAACCGATCCCATGATCCTCCTAATTCAATGACACATGCTCGTAACATGTCCTCCAAAATCTGAATAGTGAACTTGGATTGCCCGTCCGTCTAAGGATGAAATATTATACTCAGATTTACATGTGTCCCCAACTCATGATGCACTACTCTCCAAAAATATGATGTAAACTATGCTCTTCGATCCGAGATAATAGACGCGGGCACACCATGAAGGCGAACAATCTCCCGAATATATATCTGAGACAGCTGCTCTGAAGAGTAGGCAGTCATGACTGGAATGAAGTGTGTAGACTTAGTTAGTCTGTCCACAATGACCCACACTGCATCGAATCTCCTCAAGGTCCATGGAAGACCAACTACAAAATCCATAGTGATACGCTCCCACTTCCACTCTAGAATATCAAGCCTCTGAAGTAGACCACCCAATCTTCGATGCTCGTACTTAACCCACTAATAGGTCAAACACTGAGCAATGAACTCCACAATATCCTTCTTCATCCTCCGCCACCAATTGTGCTACCTAAAATCATGGTACATCTTCACGGCCCCAGGATGAATGGAATACCGTGAACTATGGGCCTCCTCAATAATCAACTCTCGTAACCCATGCACACTTGGAACACAGATTCAGTCCTGAAGCCTCAATACCCCATCATCTCCAATAGTCACCTCCTTCACATCACCGTGTTGCACTGTGTCCCTTAGGACAATCATGTGGGGATCATCATACTGACGCACCTTGATGTGCTCAAACAAGGAAAAGCGTGATACAACACAAGCAAGTACCCTGCTAGACTTAGAAATATCAAACCTCATAACCAATTAGCCAAAGCCTGAACATCCAATTCTAGCAATCTCTCCTAATTTGGAATATAAGCAAGACTCCCCATGCTCTCAGGCTTCCTACTCAAAGCATCGACCACTGCATTGGCCTTCCCCAGGTGATAAAGAATGGTGATATCATAGTTCTTTAGTAGCTCTAACCACCTCCATTACCTCAAGTTTAGATCATTTTGCTTGACCAAGTGCTAGATACTCCTATGATCTTTGAACACCTCACAGGACATGCCATAAGGATAATGCCTCCAAATCATTTGTACGTGAACAATGGCTGCTAACTCCAAATCGTGCACTGGGTAGTTCTTCTCAATGGGATTCAACTGATGCAAAGCATAAGCAATCACTCCACCTCCTATATCAACATGTACCCAATACCAATCCCTGAAGCATCACAATAGACTGTATAAGAACCCGATCTCAAAGGAAAAACAAAAACTGGATTTGTAGTCAAGGCAGTCTTGAGTTTCTGAAAGCTCTCCTTGCACTCATCAGACAACCTAATTGGGGCACCCTTCTGCGTCAATGTAGTCAATAGGACTGCTATAGATGAAAACCTCTCCACAAAATGGAGATAATACCCAGCCAAGCCAAGGAAACTCCGGATCTAAGTGGCAGAAGACGGTTTGGGCCAACTATGAACTGCCTCAATCTTCTTCGGATCCACCTTAATCCCCTCGCTGGACATCACGTGGACTATGAATGCCACAGAGTCTAACAAAAACTCACACTTGTAGAATTTAGCATATAGCTTCTTCTCCCTCAAAGTCTGGAGCACAATCTTCAAGTGTTGCTCGTGATCCTCCAGGCTGCGAGCATACACCAATATATCATCAATGAAAACTATGATGAACAAATCCATAAAAAGGTAAAATACGCTATTCATCGGGTGCATGAAAGCTGCTCGAGCATTGGTTAGCCCAAAAGACATTACCAAAAACTCATAATGGCCATAACGGGTCCTGAAAGTCGTCTTAGGAATATTTGAAGCCCTGAAGCTGTCTAAATGTTTGTTTCTATGTGTCCATGCTTCATAAGTGCTTGGGTGATCCATCTCGTATTACCCCCCATTAAAGATGTCCAAGTTACAAAGGACCTATCTTATGAGGAGATTCTGGTACCTATCCTGGATCGTCAAGTTTGTAAGCTGTGAACCATTGAGGTGGCTTCAGTTAAAGTACTTTGGAGAAATAATAATTTAAAAGAAATGGGAAGCAGAAGTGGAGATAAAAATAAGATATCCTTATTTGTTCCATACTGCAGGAGATAATGTTGAGATTACTACAGTAGGCACAACTCAAAATACCACAAAGGATGATTGAGAAATTCTGAAACATGGATAATAATTCAACATTCGAGGATGAATGTTCTGAGGGGGGGATGATGTTACACCCCACACTTTTCCCCACGTGTGAAGTTGAAGATTCAAGAGGTTTTAGCGCAACCAATCGGTCGGTGGCATGTAATGGGATCAAGGGAATGATTATGATTCATCAAAATTGTGCCAACTGCCCCACCAACCACAGTAGCAGGTGTGGGGCGATCCACTTGGCACTTGGGGCGGTGGAATTTCTAGAACCTGATAGGAAAATACGTAGCACAGCTTCTCTCTCTGGGATTCTACATAGTCTTACTAGATTTTAACGTTCCCAAAAACACTCCCAAACTCTCTAAGAACTCTCAGGTGATCCAAGGTTAAATCATAGGGGTGAATCTGGTATAATTTAATGTAAAGATCTCGTGATCATTTTTCTGTTATCTATCCTCATGATGTGCTGATATCTTTGGAAGCCCTTTGGAAGTGGGAAATTATCGTCATTGGATGTATAAGAACTCAGGAAGCATAGTCAGTCTCTTCAAAAAATGTATGTAAGGCGACTTACTTTCTTGGCATGTCTTGATGTAAGAGTTTCCTTCTGAACTATTCTAATGTTGTAAGATTGAATTATTCTAAGCCTTCTTGATAACGTTGTTCATGTTCTTGTACGTTCTTTACCGGTGACA